GAGGATCTATAAGAACACTTATTACACAGTATTCTGTGATTGTTAATTGTGTTTTGGGGTCAAATATTTTCTGAATATACCGTATATTATATTATACTTGACCTTAGTCCTTAGCAACCTATCATCTACTTTGTGCTTGTGAAATTTCAACTTTAAAGTAAAAACTAAAGCATGCTTTAAGTGCAAAAGTGACTATATAAGTGCAGAAAATATCCACATTCTCACACCAATGAGAATAAGCCCATTAAAACAAGAAAAGAAACACCAGCCCATGGTGACTTCATCGAAGCGTGATTATTCCTGCATGCTTTGCATAACAACAAGCTCAAATCAGCATCAAAATTCTGCACCACATTCATGCAAGTCACATAGTAGTTAAAAACACAGTACACTATTCTCATTTGGAGCATGCATACTTTGCCTAACCGCACGTAGCTGTAGGTATGTTATCGTTATAGTGAAGAACTGGACATGACGGATGAAGAAAGAGAGCTCACACAGAGCTGGGGTTAACACGGCTCTCCTGGAAAGCCGGCTTCTTGAATGATGTTTTGATCCCAGTAAAAACAGAACGGCCGAGCAGCTTGGAAACAGTTTATCTGCATGGCCCTCGAGAGGCAGGCTGTGTTTGTGTGTGTGTGTGTGATGTGTGCCCTCAACCCCTTCCTGTGCTCCACAGAGGGGCCAATATTTCACACACAAGAGCCCAGTGTTCAACGGATGTCCACTTTCACCTCAGGATAGAGATTCTTTTATGGGTTGTGCAACTTTCCATTTCTGTGCACCATCTCTTTGAATACACATCACAAAAATGGACAAAAACAATGTATTTTCACATTTGTTTTTGTGTTAAATAAAATGCAATAAAAATATTAATATTTTTAAATGCCACAAGTGTACTTACACATTATAACAAAGTATGATAGTCAAAGTATAAAATTATAAAAGATGGATTTTCATTTTAAGGTTTACTAATTCCATACTAACTAGCAGTGTTTTTTTAAAGATTAACTTTAAGCGAGCATTAGATTTGCAAATATAATCTAAATCTAAGAATAGTCAAAAATAAAACATAATAAAAATAAAAAACTATATAGAAACTTGAGGCTGTTTTAACTAAGTAACCACAAGGCAACCACCAGAGCATCCTAGAAAACACGTGGCAACCACTCAAAACACCTTAGCAACTGTATACAGATGCACATGCATACACCAAAAAATATTTTTACATCATTTTAATGTATAATTAATGCATAACGTAATATATAATCAATGGTTAATGAATTATTTAATGACTAAAATTAATATATTTAAATGATACAGGTGAACTTACACTTCACAACAAAGTATAAAAGAAAGTATGAAAGATGGATTTTCAATTTAAGACCGACTAATAACTTTTAAGAGTGTTAGCCTATTTGTTTTTAAAGATTAAATTCAAGCGAGCATTAAATGATGGCAAAAATCTAAAACTAAAAATAAGGGAAAACACTAACATTGTGACAGCCAGTTTTCACTCATTTATTAATCAGAAATGTAAAAATGTATTTTTTCAGATAATTTTTATTATATATAAATCAATCATTGATGTATTATTTTATGATAAAAAATATTAGCATAGAGTAAAATACACGTGGCAAACAAATGAAATGGCAGCAGAGTCAAATTATATAAACACCAATTACGAAGACTCCATCTGCCATATCCTCAAGGAGTTTCACCAACCACCATTATATAAGCATCTTTAAATCTCTTTTCCCCATCAATGTAACGGCTACAAGCTGAACTGGGACACTTGAACAGAGCAGCCATTCTCTAATAGGCAAATAGAGAGATAGTCATCAGAGAGAGCAGCTGTATAACCAGGGGATGCTGCCCAGGTCATGTCTGAACCGATCTGGCTGTACAGTACCACACTACGCCTTTTATTAGACAACACAATTGGCCCATCTGTAGATCGGGCAGAGGTGCAGATCGCAGTCACAGAAGCTCTATTTGTTCAAGGCCCTTCATCTTGGCTAAAGCTGTGACTAAAAGGCTTTAATGTCATGTACTTACAGTATAGAATTGCAGTGTGAAATTCAGCGAAGACATTCAGTGCGGTCACCTCCTTTATAAACTCACAAGCGGTTGCTTGTGTGAGCACTGATGAGAAAGTGATAGAAAAGACCTAACAAAGAGGCTTTTGTCAATGTATATGGGCTGTTTATTGTAATTAGCTTCATGACCAGAACAAAATATCAGTGTAATTGAGCAAAACAGCAAGTGATTTCTACAACAGCACCACGTCTGCTTTAAAGGGACCTAAACATGAATGCTGTTGCAAATCTGACTTTCTTTCATCTGTGGGACACAAAAGAACATATTTTAAAGAAGTTTTTTCCCTTATAGTGGAAGTCAGTGGTGTCCAAAACAATATGGAACCACACTGGCCTTCCTAATATGGACCAAAAACATTTAGAAACATTTTCAAAATATTTTCTTCTGTGTTTTGAGCGACTTTATTTTAAAGTGAACTATCCCTTTAAATGGATACCAAACAAGGGCTCTCAAACAGATGCATGCATGCACATGTGGACGTACGTAATGTCCAGGCAATTTGCAAACTAAATGCAGGCACTCAAACACAGGTGCACCTCCGGTCTTTCTGCTGTTTCACTGGTGCGTCAAATTACACACTGAGAGAGAAAAGGGGAAAATCCTCGGAGCAAATGTAATGACACAGAACGAGCTGACGTTCAAAGACTAATCACATCCATTCACCCGTCAGCACACACTGGCTCTCATCACACACTAATCACACGCGACAGGTGGCACTGAAACAGTGCGCCTGGATAAACTATGTGTCCAATACATATGGGTAAGCAGGACACAGCAGAAAATTTGAACTAATAGATGAGAGGGGAACAGAAATGAGAAATTAATAAAGGAAGGAGTGAAATGGCAGAGGGAAGAAGGAGGGATGCAGAATACAGAAGTCAAAGAAAAGGAAAAGGCCGATTTTCAAGGTTTACTGGAATGTCACTCAGCATTAGGGCTTATTGTACACATGCATAAGTGATTATAAAAGGAATTTTTGTTAATTAAAATTAGAACTAGAAGGAAAATTGGTCAAAACTTAAAGGTTGTTTTTAAACTTGAAAAGTTATTCTGAAAAGCCAGGAAGTCTGTAGGTTGCATAAGCCTTAAGTACTTATCATTCAAAATACAGAACGACAGAACAACAGACAGACAGACAGATAGACAGATAGAACGATAGATAGAACGATAGAACGATAAATAGATAGATAGATAGAACGATAGATAGAACGATAAATAGATAGATAGATAGATAGATAGATAGATAGAAAGAAAGACAGACAGAATGATAGAACGATAGAAAGAACGATAGATAGAACAATAGATAGATAGATAGAATGACAGAACGAACAAACAAAAAATAGATAGATAGAATGACAGACAGACAGACAGACAGATAGATAGACAGAAAGAAAGACAGATAGAATGATAGAAAGAACGATACATAGATAGATAGATAGATAGATAGATAGATAGAAAGAAAGACATAGAATGATAGAACGATAGATAGAAAGAACGATAGATAGAACGATAGATAGATAGAATGACAGAACGAACAAACAAAAAATAGATAGAATGACAGACAGAAAGACAGACAGACAGATAGATAGATAGATAGATAGATAGATAGATAGATAGATAGATAGATAGATAGATAGATAGATAATTTCACAGTCTGATCTATATGTTTTGTAAGAGAGAATGTAATACAAATTCACCACAGGGAAACAAGAGAAACAATTTACGAAAGAGGGAAAATTGGCAGCTGTAGAGACAGAGGTGTTTTTTGTCAGCAAACTGGGGTAAATAGTTTAGGACGTGCACTGGAGTTCACAATGTTCTCTTAAGTAAGACTTAATAAAAAGCACTGGGGAGAGAGAGCACTTTCTCAGCATAGATTTCATTATGTCTAATCTGCAGCTCTGTCCTGCATCTGCACACATACAGCGCTCTAATGTCCAACAGACACTCATCTCTCTGTCATGATCCTGTTCACTTATAATGCTAGTCAAAGTTTCTTGCATCTAGAGCCATTTAGAGTTACACGGTTATGTTTATGTGTTTATGGTCGTGGCATCATAACTATGACAGTTTATTTTGCATAAATGTATGTATGCAAACACTCAACCTGTCCTTATGGGATGCAGGCATTTATCCTTGTCCTACTGGTTCAGCCCAGCCTTCAAACTAAATGATGCATATGCCATCTCAGCGGCTACTGTCATAAAGATATTTGTCTTCTGTTGTGCCCCTTCACACCTGCCTGAAGTTTTAAAAGCTGACTCCAGCATCTCTGGACCCCTGATGCCCAGACATGAGGACACACAATCAGACACAAGTGGACAGTCAGGCTCTGACAAAGACAAAAGAACAATGCAGACAGTGTTGCCCTATAGGTATACTGCCACCTAGAGGCTGCAAAGCAAACTGCATAATTTTACGGAAGAGGGGTTGAGCTGTAGTCATCCTGCACGCTTTGTGATACAAAATGAAAATGTTCAATTTTGAATTTAAACGTTAAAAAAAAAAGGCAAAAAATGATCATAGACCTACATTAAATTGGAGTTTTGGGTCAGTCAGCAATCACCTAGTGACCACCTAAGAACACCCTAGCCACCACTTAACCCTTAACTTTTACTCATTTAACAGGCACCTGGATTAGCAGCCCGTTTAAAGACCCCAGGAAACAGTTTGACTAGTTGCAGTTGTCTTTTTCCTTTAGTGTTTACGTATTTCCTGTTAAAACAGGAAGTTTGGGTGGGACACGTTCCTTTTTCATTTTTTCACTTCGGTTAAGGTCAGAGTCATAAATGTGTATATCTTCTAAATGTTTATTTTGCGACTTTTAGGAGCAAACAAACATTTTTCAGACCACCCTTGACTCTAAACATTAGGTACTGTGTGTGTACATGTATTTGTACCTGGTTCCTCTTTGTCTTGGTACTGCCTCACCAGGATTGGTGCAGGTCTGTGGACCGCCTGTGCCGTCTGGGAGCTCTAAACAAAAAAATGAGAGGAGATGAGACAAGAACAATAGCGGAGGAGAGGGGCGTCGGGTGGACACTGTACGCAGAGGGATTATAAGGGAACATTGTTTTAATCTCCTTCATTCAGGGGGGCAAATCCCCACATATGGGCGACCTACAGACCGAGAATTCTGGGTTAATGAGGGTCTCAGGAGTTTCCACACACCACTAAAGAGACTGCTTTGTTTTTGCAATTAAGAGAAAAGTACGGACAGAGGTTTCGCCTGAGCAGACATCACTAAATACTGCAGAGATAACCACCCCTCGCATACCACTTTATAAACTTTTAAATAAGTTAATAAGTTCACCCAAAAACTGAAATTCTGTCATCATGTACTCACCCTCAAGTTGTTCCAAACCTGTATGAGTTTCTTTCTTCTGTTGAACACAAAAGAAGATATTTTTTTTTTTAAATGTTGGTAACCAAACAGCTGCTGGTCCCCATTGACTGATGAATGATTTAATGATGACAGAAGTTTCATTTTTGGGTGAACTATCCCTTTAAGCAATCACAGAAGAGCACTATTGGGTCTCAGTCTGTCTGAAAGTTAAAAGTCCCTGTACTGTTAGATTAATATAAACATTTTGGAATGTTGCTCAGCCAATCAGATTTGAGGGGCAGAACCAGCAACTGTATAGAAGCAGTCATCTCATAAATATATGAATAGAATAAAATCTAGAACATAAAAACCTATTAAAATCGTTTTTTTAATTACTGGTTCTATTATTGTCAGAGTTTATTCTTAATTTTAAATATGTTTAAAATTCATCAATATACCAAATATATAAAAAATATATTTCTTATACATCTGTGGTCAGTAAGATGTTTTTTTTCTTTTTGAAAAAAATAAAAAATAAAATAATAATAATAATAATATTACTTTTACGCAGCAAGGCCTTTAATTGGGGGCAGAACCAGCAACTGTATAGAAGCAGTCATCTCATAAATATATGAATAGAATAAAATCTAGAACATAAAAACCATTAAAATCGTTTTTTTGTTTTTTTAATTACTGGTTCTATTATTGTCAGAGTTTATTCTTAATTTTAAATATGTTTAAAATTCATCAATATACCAAATATATAAAAAATATATTTCTTATACATCTGTGGTCAGTAAGATGTTTTTTTTCTTTTTGAAAAAAATAAAAAATAAAATAATAATAATAATAATATTACTTTTACGCAGCAAGGCCTTTAATTGATCAAAAGTGACAGTAAACATTTACATTTTACATTTTTACAAAAGGTTTCCATCTCAAACAAATGCTGTTATTTTGAACTTTCTATTCATCAAATGCAGAAAAAACTATATCCCAGTTTTAAAATAAATTACATTTTAAAATATATTAAAATAGAAAAGTTACTTTGCATTGCAATAATATTTCACAATATTACTTTTTTTTTTTTTTTTTACTGTATTTTGATTAAATAAATGCAGCCTTGATGAGCATAAAGACTTTTTGATTTAATAAATGCATTTTTTTAACCAAGCCCAAACTTTTGAAAGGTGGTGTAAAATATATGAGTTTCATCGCATTTTTAATCATTAGACAATCAACAACACTTTATAACAAATGCCTGTGGTGTCAATAGTAATCTTTCAATGACAAGCAATAACTTTCTCAGCTTATGAAATGACTTTTCTGCTTATGTCACCAAGGCAACACAGACAAGGAAAAACTTTCACGATCCAATCAAATCCTAATGGTCACATTCAAGCTGTATCCTGTGACAAAAGATGTATTCAAACATAATGTTTGTTAACAGTAATAAATGCAATTATACAGTGTCAACATCTTCTTTGGTGTGCTTTCTGTTTATAATTTAAGCAGAAATGTAACTCTTACTTCTTAAAGCAGCACTATGTAACTTTTTCTGTGTTCAAAATTTGCAAAATGTATATAATGAGCGAGTACATCATGAATTCATCTTCCAAACCGCGTTTTTGTCTTATTCCGAATTCCAACTCTGGTTGGAATGTTCTTCCGCGGGATGTGTGCAGTTCTGTTTATTAACCGCTAGAGCGCCAAAAGTTACATAGTGCTGCTTTAATTCAGACTCTGTCTACAGCAGGGCAGGTAAGAGAACTTGCCTGATTTTGTGTGTCCTGTGGATGAGGGGAGGAGACAGTCACCACATGATGATAAACCTCAGCTTCCTTCTGTTTCTCCAATGACCTGAGGTTCACTGACAGCCCACTGTCTTCAACCACTGCACCTGGTTGTCATGGATACAACACAGGAATATTTCAGACAGCGTGCAAAGTACAGTATGATAATACTCAATGTTCTCAATGCCCAAGAACAACCAACACAGTAAAAATACCATACTGGTCATAAGTCTATCAATAAATTATGCATACATACAGCAACAGAGTCTTGTGAAGTATACTTGCAGTTTGATAGCCTGTAACATGTTTACACATTCTACAATGGTCTCGGCAGGTTGAACGTGATGCTTCGAGCAGCTTTGATTTGTCTCTGTTATGGGGACTGTATTGCAGTTGAGAGGGAAGCAAAATAGCATTAAATTCTCGCTCGGTCAAGGATGAACTCTTGTCTGTGCTGCTGGGGTGTGTGTTTTTTCTTTGGCAGCACTAGTCTCTAAGCAACACTGAGGCTCTTTTTACTGTGAGCAGAGCGATCCTGGCTTTGAGTAAATATTGGTTTAGGCCAACACAGGAATAGGTTTGGATTCTACGCCGGCGTTTAAGAGGATGCTCAGAGTGGGAGTGGGATTCATTTCCGCCTAGTTCCCTGAGCCTGAATTCTGATGAAGTATCCAGACCGCCTGGCTTCCCCTGTGTCAGCCTCAGCTCGCTCTTTCACACACAGAATCTGAAGCAAAAACAGCTTAATTCCCGGTGTCCATATAACACGGGTAGTGTGAGACATGCCCCATTAGAGACGACCCACGGAGGGCCAGTAACACTGCCAAAGCCATACAGGAAGGGGACGTGGCCACCCAAATGGCGCCGCAGGAGTTGATGGGCAAAAAGAGAGATCAATGGCGACAGGAAAAACAATGTAAAAAAGTGAAATGACGTTTATATGTTTGTAATTATTGCTTAAGGCAAGGGACGTAAAAAAGTCAATAAATTCTGAGTCAAGTTTTATTTATTTATTTACTATTGTAAAAGTGCAGTCTGTGTGTGTTGATTGTCTGAGTGATGTTTCTTACCTGTGTGGTCGGCGAGCACTTGTCCAGGTGATGAGAGTGTGGCGTGTGGTGAGATCTCAGTGGATCTGTGCTGTGTGTATCTCTGATGATCCATGAGTGAGTGTCCGGTCAGCACAATCTCCGCTGCGGTCGTCAGAAGTGGTCTCTGACCCTCACTGACCTCTCCACTGCTCTCCTCCTCCCACCATTTCTGAGAAAGAAAGATGAAGCTCTCCTCCTCCCACCATCTCTGAGAAAGAGAGATGAATTATTGTGATCATGTGTCCTTTTTTAAACATCCTCTAGCACCACCTACTGGATAAGAGCAGAACTAGCAATCTGTCAATAAGACATAAGCTAGTGTTTGCAGAAATGTTCAGAGAAAAATTCTATACAAATGGAGTAATAATAAAAAACAATTGACAATAATTACAATTATTTTATAAAATATTGACAGCAATAGCTTTATGTTTTTTCTTCATGTTTAAAAAGATTTAACAGTCAAATTAAAGTAAATATTCCCAAAGTCAATATTTTATATAATAATTTTAATATTAACATTTATGTAATATATATATATATATATATATTATTTTCAGTATAAAAAAATAAAAATAAACAACTGCCTCTCTCTCTCTCTCTCTCTATACACACACAATGGAGTAATTTACAAATGCTCTGCACATCAGCTTCACAAACAAATTAGTTTGACCAAATCTTTCAAAAGAACTAGTTCAAAAAAATGATTTGTTCTTGATTTGAACATCATTAGCGAATGTGAAAGCTTCAGTCAAGTTACATGATACCTCTGGCTGCTTTGATTGTCTGACAGGGCCGCGTTCCATTCTGGCCAACAGAGACAGGACGGGATCATGATGAGCAGGAAGGTGTGGAGCTCTGATCACCTGACCTTCACTGGGCGGATCGTAATCCTGACAAAAAGACCAAAGAGTTTGTATAAAATCAGTGCACTTGATTTAATGTATATACACCTGGAAAATATTTGTGGTGTTATTTTATTAAACAATGTGTTGTTTAACAATTATAATGAATTATATCACTGTATGAGGTTTTTTCTACACTTCCACAATCCAAAATGAAATTAATAATAATCACAGATGATTGTTATATCAGCAATAACTGTGTTACTGGCTGTCTCCACAGTTCTCATTGGGATTGAACCTCTAACCTTTGGCTAAAAGCTCAAACCCCAAGCTGAAATTGTCAGTTCATGTTTAACCATGACAGTCTTATTATTTCATTCCATTTGGTTTAAGAAATGGTGAGGAAACACAAAAGTGTTTGGGTCTGTTGCTAAGACTCTTTGCGTTCAAACATTTACCATATCTTGGACTCCATGCAGGGAACTGTTCAGGCTGGTCATTAAATTAGGCAGAAGGACTCCTTCCTCTTCCAGAACTGGGGAAGGAAAAAAAGTATATTTTCAAGAACAAAATGCATTAAAAAGAGCCTATAAACTCAACAACAAATTTAGGCATCATAGGCACACTACAAAGTATTGAAGGCAAAATTTAACAAATATATATGATTAAAAGTTCGGAATAAAAGATTTTTAATGCTTTTGAAAGACGTCTCATATACTCAACAAGGCTGCATTTATTTGCAGCCTTGAACAATACACAACACATCTCAGGACTGTACATCTGTAAATAACTTATCAAAACCATATTGGTCATTTTTATTTATTACACCAAGACGAAAAAGAGAGATCAATGGCGACAGGAAAAACAATGTAAAAAAGTGAAATGACGTTTATATGTTTGTAATACATGCGTCACACATAGAAACCTTTAACATATCACACCGGCTTAACTGTTATTGCTTAAGGCAAGTGACGTAAAAAAGTCAATAAATTCTGAGTCAAGTTTTATTTATTTATTTACTATTGTAAAAGTGCAGTCTGTGTGTGTTGATTGTCTGAGTGATGTTTCTTACCTGTGTGGTCGGCGAGCACTTGTCCAGGTGATGAGAGTGTGGCGTGTGGTGAGATCTCAGTGGATCTGTGTTATCAAAACCATATTGGTCATTTTTATTTATTACACCAAGACGAATTCCTTGTAAAGCTATTTCTGATTCTGATTTGATCAAAAAATGCAGTAGAAATTGCAATATTGTTAAGTACTATTACAATTTAAAATAACTGTTTTCTATTTAAATATATTCTGAAATGTAAGTTATTCCTGTGATGGCAAAGCTGAATTCAGTTTTCAGTGTCACATGATCCTTCAGAAATCATTCTTTCAAAAACAAGATATAAAATACAAAAGGTATATACTGTATTACTTGTATAATAATGAAATAATACATTCAGGCTTGTGGGTTTGTGAGATGCAGCCCATTCATTTATAAACGTCCATTTTGTCCTTAGAAGGCAGCTGCTTATGCAGACAGTGTGGTTTTGGATTAGTCTGGCTGTGTGAGTCTGTGTCGGACCGATCGTGTACCTCTGACTGCTGCCATCTGGCCGTGAGTGAGCAGCAGCTCTCCCTCTGAGATGTGTCTGGCTGGCGTCTGCGTCTCCGTGACAGTCACACTGGAACTAGAGCTGCTCTCCTCTGAGGAGGAGGAGGAAGAGAAGGATTCAAGGGGGGCGGCAGGAGGAGGTTCCTGGCTCACAGGAGGAAGAGGAGGTGGGGAAGTCTTGGGTTTGGAGAGGATTGGTGGAGATGAATGGATGACTGATTCTTCCTCATCGTCCTCTTGGGCTACTGACGTCAAACTGCGTGTGAGAGAGATGGTGTTAGAGTAGAAGGCAGCTGCTTATGCAGACAGTGTGGTTTTGGATCAGTCTGGCTGTGTGAGTGTGTGTCGGACCGATCGTGTACCTCTGACTGCCGCCATCTGGCCGTGAGTGAGCAGCAGCTCTCCCTCTGAGATGTGTCTGGCTGGCGTCTGCGTCTCCGTGACAGTCACACTGGAACTAGAGCTGCTCTCCTCTGAGGAGGAGGAGGAAGAGAAGGATTCAAGGGGGGCGGCAGGAGGAGGTTCCTGGCTCACAGGAGGAAGAGGAGGTGGGGAAGTCTTGGGTTTGGAGAGGATTGGTGGAGATGAATGGATGACTGATTCTTCCTCATCGTCCTCTTGGGCTACTGACGTCAAACTGCGTGTGAGAGAGATGGAGGGTGTTAGAGAGTGCAACGCTTAGCAAAGGCACATATTCCTCCATGTCTACACTGACACAGAAGCAAAACATTACTAACCATACAACCATACAAATAGAAAACAGTCATTTACATGTAAAAGTCTTAAAGGTGAAGTAGCAGCAACGGCTTTTACTTCCTAGATTCAGAGAGAGGACAGAAACTAGTCATGAAATACTAAATTACAACTGCTTCCTACTAATCAATATGGGTCAGTAATGTAAGGCACAAAAATATTGTTAAATATTTACAAAAATATACACAAATCTAGTTAACTGAGATGACAGGATGAATGTTCAGCTCCACCTACTACAGAAAACGGTCCTAATAAAATTTTACATATCAGACATGAACTAAATGCATCTGCTATTTTGTTCTTCAGGTGTTGCTAACTGCTAATACCTACTTTAAAAGAGAACAGTTATCTAAAAATCCCAAACAGTTTATTTAAAATTTGAATGGCACACTGAATTAACACATCACACAAAAGACACAATATATGGGTATAAAAATAATTATTTAAACAAACTTAAAAATAAATAAATAATGTCTGTGTTGAGCCTTGCTGAACCCAAAGCAGGTGAAATATTACCTGATTTTATAAACGTTTTCATACATAGCTACAAATCTACATCTATAAAAGTAGGAACACAGCTTTTAATCCTAATAAAATAGATGTTTTTTAAATTAAATAATTTGTTCTGTCAGACCATATAAGTGAAAGTTCAATATATATTTTATTCTAAATGAAGCACCAACTTACGGTCTGAAGACAGGTGGTTTGAGTGGTGGTGAGTGATGTTATAATTTTAAAAAACATAAAGTCAAAGGAAATAGTACATCTGTGTTTCTAGTGATTATCTCTTTCTTTTAAAAGTGGACATTTTTTCCCGTGTTTCTAGAATTAGTCATATACAGTATTTACTGTTGTTAACAGCAGGTGGCACTGTGGGCCTATATATCACAAAATTCATCACTAGACCAACTATACATTTAGAGGTACAAATATTACCTATTTTCTACTGCTAGTAAAAAATAAACTGTTTCTCAAACATGATTCTACCAATGTTTGAACGATAGCTTTTAAAAACAGCCCTTGCTTTTCTACACAAATAAAATGAATAGTGTATGTGTTATTTACCTTGCCTGAATATTTCATGCAAGAATAACAAGAATAAAGCAGAATGAAACAATAATATTTAGACATACACTGACGCTGAAGGCTGTTCCTGCCTCTCGCTGTGTGGTTCTTCCTCCTCCAGGGGGAGCTCTGTTCCTGAATCTGGGCTCTGATTGGCTGGAGGAGGTGAGGGTGTGGCCACCCTGGTGGGAGATGGGATTGGTGTGGTAGCCGGTGTTCCCACAGGAATTCTATTTGGACCTGAAACAAAGGCAGAATGGTTGTAGCGCTGAGTGATGTGTGTAAACAACTGTGCTAACACTTTTACAAATAGATGGCGAGTGATTTGGTATGTTCATTAAAATTACTGTCAGACCTGATGAAGCAGATCCCTGATGGTTTTCTTTGGGGGACAAAACTGAAGAAAGATGCTTGGAAAGATCAGGGGTTCTGACAGGAGACAGCGCCTCAGTCGAGCCTGGCTCAGGAGTGGGTGCAGGTGTTGGTACCGTAGACACCTCCTGCAATATTAGCACAATATTACCACATTTAGAGTAGTAAAAGTATTATCATCATCGTGGATGAATGAGAGTGTGTTTAGATGCCAGCACCTCCTGAGCATCCTGTGTTTGGACAGGGGCAGTGGGCGCTATCTGCATCTCTCTCTGTCCCAGCATTACTGCAGCGGTTTCAGCCAGCACTTCATTTACACACTGTCTTATGAGTTCCGAGTCCACTGGTACCCCTGTGTCCACAAACAACTGAAGCCCACCACCACCTGCGGCCTCCACTGCCACACAAACACACAGAGAGAGGAGGATTACCTGGTGTACGTGGGACATGGTTTGGCATCTTTTGTTAACAAGGTTACAGTCATAAGTACATAGCAGCGGTCAGCTAAAGCGGGTTTTTCAATGCTGATATCTAAAGAGGAGGCTGAAGCAATTTAATGACAGCAAAATGACAAACAGAATGGACTCTTTCCTAAGATCCACTTTAAAAACATTACTGACCAATCCTAGCAAAAGTGCTGTTATTGTTAAAAAGAAATAAAAGTCGTTGAAATAAAGCTAAAAAAACGAATAAAAATTGCAAAAGCATATAACAAAATTAACTGACCAATACTAACATTGACCATACTAACTGTTGCAGTTGTTTTCACATCAGTGTTGTTATTGTTAAACAGAAATTGTTCAAATAAAATAAATTAAAGCTAAATAAAAATGTAAAAAAGAACTAATAAAAATGATAAAGGCACATAAATTCATCAAAATGAACTGACCAATACTAACTTAGCAACTGTTGCCGTCTAATCATTTTTACATTAGTGATGCTACTGTTAAATAAGACAAAATATATTATATTATAAAAACTATCAAATAAATTAAAAAACAAATAAATATATATAAAAAAAAACTTTCACATGAGACTGGAAGAAAAGCTGACTGTGAACGCATTTGCATCAATTCTGATTCATAGTCTTAAATCATGTTATTGCATAATTAAACAAATGATTTCAATTAAAACATAAGATAAAAAATACTTTTTCAGTATTTACAATTCATTCCAGCCTACTTAAGAATATTATCCATTCTATTATCCATTCACCACAAAATATGAAAGCAGAAATTTATTATATAATTTATAATAAAAATTCATTAAAATTTATATTTTTTATTACTTCTTGTCCTCTGACAGGGCTGATGGAGTATGGAGCTAACACGATTTTCTATCACATAACTTTATGGCTTTATGCTGACCAAATAATTCTTTTTACCATAGTTTTATTGATAAAGACAATAGAAGGGTTTAAAAGAAATGCAATGTGTTTTGGGCAGTGGGATAATGACACACATCCCTAGATTCAAACCTGGATCTAAAACCGCTGCTAGGCCACAGGTCTGACCTATCACCACTTTCAACAAGGTCATTGCTATTATTTAATATCAAATTTCACATCCATTTAAAGAGCTAAAACTCCTAATGTGCATCCAAAAAATAACAAAAACGCATGCACTTAATATCTGCAAATCTGGCATTCCCACAATATTCAGAAGTTTTCCCATGAAGCCCTTCTGGCAAGTTGAGTTTGCCAGCAAAGTAATTTCAAATAACCAATTTGAGACTCACTTTACCTCTCATCCAGCCTATTCTGAATTATTGCACCCGTAAGCATTTTGGACCGGTGGTATTAAAAAGCTAATATACAGAACTGACATTCTTGGCAGGGGCCTCGTTTCCTTTTGTCTGCGTTCAAACACATATACAGTTCCTCTACAGGAGGAAGAGTCCAGTCAGTCTGCGAATATGCTGACAACAGTTTGCCGCGAGCCTCCTCTGCAAATTTGATACATCATTGATCTTTCTATTAAACGAAAGCGAGAATTAATGAGGCAGGACCTCCTCGCCGACTGAGCAGAAGTGACGCGACAGAGACGGAAGGATGGAGCGGAGGAGGAGTAGAGGGGCTGAGCACAAGCAATCGTGTTTTAATGAGGAAATACAATCTTGCTGCATGCTGACACGCTTGACAAATGCACTGCTCTCATTCGCAGACACTATGAATCAAAATGATGAGCTTATAGATTGGAACCTGGACCATTCTTGCTGGTTTATGTCATGCGTTATTGATTGTGTTGTTGATTTTTAACGTTGACCAGACACACTGGTAAATTGGTGAAGATGTATGATGGTTGAACTGCAGACAGACAAAGTTCATAGCTACTAAACTGGGAGCTTTCAAATATGTTTAACGCCAAACTCACAGAGTTTAAAATCAGACTAAGTCACATTGTGAGGCCTAAAGTCACAATTATAAACATTAAAAAATAACCCATTCTCACCTATGCCTGATGTCACACTATTCTCCGGCTCTGATTGGCTGGCTGGATCAGTCTGGACGGGCTGAGGGAACATTCCAGTGATCATTCTGGCCATGAGCTGTTGCTCCACCCTATGAGAGAGAGATGAAAACACAGTGCTATAGTGGCATTATGCTTTGATGATGATAACATGTCATCAGCAATCCAACCAATGAATACTTCAACTGATGCAACAAAAAATGTAACTAAATTTAGGTCTGAACATTCATTTAGTAGATCCAATGCCTTATCTAAAGTGACTTACAAAACATACATTTCAAACTGGAGATAAGTGCTCACTAAGGCTACATTTATTTGATCAAAAACAGTAATATTCTGAAAAATTACAATTTAAAAGACCTGTTTTCTATTTGAATATGTTTTAAAATCTCATTTACTCCTGTGATGCAAAGCTGAATTTTCAGCATCATTACTCCAGTCTTCAGCGTCACACGATCCTTCAGAAATCATTCTAATATGCTGATTTGGTGCCTGAGAAACATTTCCTATTATTATTAATGTTGAAAACTGTTGTGCTGCCTAATATTTTTGTGTAAACCATGACATATTTGTGGTCATATCTGTGCAGCAGATGATATTTGCACAGATAGTGGATAGTCTCACCAATCTACCAGTCTGTTCTCCAGGGTTTCTCTCTGCTGGATGGTGCTCAGGATTGGCTCGGTCAGATGGGTGGACTGGGAAGGCTGTGGAGGAAACGCCGGGCCGTGATACAGAGCAGCTGGAGGAGACGGCAGCCCATTGAGCTCTATAGGAGAGTCTGGAAGTCCACCGTTTGTTTCCTGAATTCAACACAGCATTGAGAAAAATGGAGTCTCAGCAGTTTTATGATATATATATATACTAAAACATATGGCTTTCTGAGAGACTTATTGACAATCCATTACAGCAAAAACTTCCCTGACAGCTTACTGGATCAGACATTAAATTTTCAACACAAATGACAGCAAATAATAATTTGCCAGGTAATGGCAAACATATGTTAGTCTGTGTGCAGTTTCACAGTGGTCATTACAGTCTTAACAGAAAGGGAGGCTGGAGAGAAAGGGGGATGTTTGTCTTGTATAATTCCATCGCTGAATCCGCGAGCCAGCTTTCAACATTTCGGTCATTGGTTTGGATAATGTTCAGATCTTTGGCCCGGACTCAGGGAGGTCTGTGTAAGGAGTGATTAGCTCATTTCCAGTGGCCGGCTGCCAGAGGAAAAAGAGAGAGAAATGCATTCTGCCAGTTGGGCACTGAGCCCGTTTGAAGTTTATGGCACCATCAGAACTGACCGAGCCAAAACTGAGGCACTGGAGACTTAGAGGAATGACATTTTAGGAGCTGGCAAGGATCCTTGCCTGCAGTCCAAGAGAGAGGGAGCTTGTTCACCAGGGTTTAGACTTAAGTAGCTGTGGCTTTATTTGGTCATTGGGAAAACTATAAGTGGGCCGAACACATGCCAGTCCTCGAAAAACTGCTTAATTATATGCAACTGCTGTGCAACACGCTTGAATTTTTATTGCTCTCAGTGTTTGGAAAATGTTTGTATTTCTGGACTCATAACTTCGATCTTAATTGCCATTTGAACAATTACAGAGTCAAAATAAAAAGAGTCAGAAGGACTTTTTATAGTCAGACTACTGCCAGGAGACAGAAGACACTAGATTTTTACATAATCTGAAGAAAATAGGAGTAATGTTTGCTCATGAAGAGCTCTCTTGCTGGGGTATTCTGGCAGGTTGCAAGTCTCTTTGATATTTCTGGTCTCTACATATAGCTCGGGTCCCTCCTTCAATGCAAGTCTGTGGGATTTTTTCACCCTTTTTGTCATCCACCAGGTAAAAATCACTTAGAAAAGTAATAACTTTAACAAGACACATCTGTTGCACAAATGGCGCAAGATATTGTTCAATACTTAGTGCTCACACAAAGTTAGAGATTTGAACAAACCCATACAGTAGCACTTAGTAATCAGTTATGCTTGCCTTATACAATCACAGAGCAGGGGTTCTCAACCAGAGGGCTGCAAGGTGACTTCAAATGATTTAAAATAAGATAAAACCAGCTTTAAAATAAGCTGATGCTTGCCTTATACAATCACAGAGCAGGGGTTCTCAACCAGGGGGCTGCAAGGTGACTTCAAATTATTTAAAATAAGATAAAACCAGCTTTAAAATAAGCTAAAACAGATAATAAAGATGTAAAATGACAAATTAAGAAAATCAAGATGTAAAATGACATAATATTTATTTTAATTTGTTCTGTCAGCAATTGTAATTTTAGTTCCTATGGTCTTGGAAAATCTAGATCTAGGAAATTTTATGGGAATTTTTATGTCAAGCTCTAAATATTTCATCAGGTAGAAACTCCTGAGAAATTGCTAGCTGTGATTACAAATTATTTATTTATTAAAATCTCAATCACAAACGACTGAAAAAATCATGTAAATTCATTACTTATAAAGCATTCAGTATTAATTCACTAAATTCTATAATTATTGCAAGTTTCATTATTTATATTCAATGTTTTTTATTATTTTAATATATTGCCAATATACTAGCAATTATTATATTTTATTATTTTAATATATTGCCAATACTAGCAATTATTATATTTTATTATTTCAATATATTACCATGACTAGTTTGGGTAAATAAAAAAATTACCACAGAAATGAATATCAATTGAACCGAATATGGTCTTGGACAATATTCATTAGTCAAAAACATTGAGAACCACCGACATAGAGCCTCCAATTTGCAGAAAGTCTAAGTATTGAGCAAAAATGCACATAAGCTTTTTTTAAGTATCTCTGAGGCAAACCTCCCAAAATCCAACCACTCAAATTCTAATGCCAAACATCTAAGAACAATTAACACTTCTGGTTCACTGCTGCAAAATAATTTCCTTCCATCGCAAAACCTCTGTTAACCAGAGATCAGATCAAACCAAGTTTCATCTGTGGATGATGTTCCCTTACAGACCAAAAGGGGTCACTGTGGAACAGCTCATGTGATTTGGAGCGCAACCCCCTCCATGATTCTTTATTCTCATTATAAACACTCTTTTTCCCAGCACCTTCCATAAAAGCCTGTGAGAACAGCCTCCACCTCCTGCCTAATGACTGCTATGCTGTTTCGGTGCTAACTGACGCCTTGCCCTTGTACGACCGAGCGACAGGATCGGCCTAATGCCCAATACGCGGGGCGTCCTGTACTTCTTGTTAGCGGTAAATATAAGGGGCTTATGTCTCCGCGTGTGTATGCTTGAGCGAGCCGTGATGTGAGCAGAATTCCTAATGGAACAAAGACTAATATCGGCAATACAGCATCACACCCCTTCGATATCAATTCACTGAAAGGCCAATTTAGCCATGCGTATTGTAATTAGATTTTTCCCCAACCCATGAATGCTATTTTAAACTCTCATTCATTCTCTGGTCTTCGTTAATTAAAGAAAACGATATTCTCCTTCACCCTTTGGCTCAGAAAATCTCATTATTGGAGCACTCAGCCATTGATGGCCAATATTTCTGGTAGGAGGAGACGATCAATTCACTGAAAGGCCAATTTAGCCGTGCGTATTGTAATTAGATCTTTCCCCAACCCATGAATGCTATTTTAAACTCATTCATTCTCTGGTCTTCGTTAATTAAAGAAAACGATATTCTCCTTCACCCTTTGGCTCAGAAAATCTCATTATTGGAGCACTCAGCCATTGATGGCCAATATTTCTGGTAGGAGGAGACGTGGAGAATGGGCATTTGTAGCTGGGTCAAAATGCAAATGAGAATGAAGTAGGAAACAGTGGATCGGGGCTGATACCCTCAGGGTGGACACCAGGTTGTGAAATGACCTTTACATTATGAGTGAGTGTGTGGGTTGAAATGTGCTTTTAATTGAATGTACCTGGCTGATGTCGGCTACAGCCAAGAAATTGGTTCCGGGAAAGATATTTTCCTCCTGATCTTCACCAGCATGCAGTTCCTCGGCAGCCTGGGAGGCAATGATACGGAGACAGAGGTCAGGAAGCAATGCGGTGTCTGGAAATTACAAAATTCATCAACGGCTGGGGAGATTAGAAAGTTGTAAGTGTATGAGTTAATAAGGATAATGATGACAGGCTGAAACATATATGATACTTGACCATAAAGTAGGGTAGTGTGGATTTAAAGTTGCCATGAAATGGAAATTCATCTATGTTATAATGTTATAGATCAAATTTACTCAGATGTATGTCAATACTAAAGAAAAGATATGTTGTTTCCTTTAAAGTTGTCATGAAACGAAAGTACAGTTCACTCAAAAATGAAAATTCACCCTCATGATTTTCTATGAGACATTTTGAAAAATGACAGAAGAATTACAGTCTGTGCCTTAGATAAAGCTATCGTATGACCTCGCACAAGTCATAAGGATTATTTTTATGGTGCCATTATGGTGTTTTTTTTGGACCTTGAAAGCCCACAATCATTGTAGGCTTCAATTTGTATGGAAAAGAGGAGCATGAACATTCTTCAAAACATCTCTTTTGTGCTCCACTGAAGAGTCATAAAAGTTTGGATTGAAATGAGGGTAAGAAAATGTTAACAGAATTTGTCCTTTTTAAGTGAACTATTGTAAAAAATTAAATAAAAAATAGCTTCATGTCCTGAAATAGCTTAAATGAATCCTCAAATGGTGGTGGTCGCAGACATGACACTGACCACACACACACACACACACACACACACACACACACACACACACACACACACACACA